TTTATATTCTATGTTAGCAGTCGCTGTCTTATGAACGTTTTTCTTTAATGCTTAATGTCTACGAAGTTTAGAAACAGCTGAAAATGAATCTTCGAAGCTTATCTACGTCGTCTACCTAAGCGCTTTTGCTCTCCGGTAAGTAAGATGCATTTAGACTGTTGACTATTTTTTTGGTTCGTTGGTAGATATAATGGAACGCAGCATAAGACGCTTTCATTTTAATCCGTTGTGATAGTAAAGACTCGTTTATCAAGTATCTTTGACTCCTTGATTGACTGACTGACTGACAGTTTCTCTATGGAATTACTGCTTCTAACCTTCGGTTTCTAAAAGTACAGACCAATAGTATAATTTGGCCATAAAATAAATCCCTGTAAAAGTAGAAAAGAATTTTTTCACCTTCAGTTCCAAACTTTGAAAACGGCGGTTCGTTTGCACCAAAGGAGCATCAATGAGCCATTTTATTTGCCATTTTTTGCTGAAATTTTCATGGAACATTCAAAGTGTTGCGCTAGACGCCAACCTTCCACTGTTTCGAACAAAAGGTCGATGACTTTTGCTCTGTTATCCCAAGGGAGTCGTTATATCACTGACTTACTGTCTAAGTAAGAAACAGAACTTAATCTGTGACACAGTAGTTACTATCTTATGTCATAAACCGCATAATAAATATTTTTTAATTAAACAATGGCAACTATCGCAATAAATTCGCTCAGTGCTACTTTACCATGAAATATGCAATGAACAAATATTAATTTAAATGTTAAGCGTAATATTAATGTACTACATGAACGTTCTAACAAACTTAAAACGTGTTTCTTAATTTTGAGAGTATAAATTTTCTAGACCGTTTTCAAAATATTCCAAATCCAATATTTGAGATTGTTCATTTGGCTGTTAATGGCTCTACTAGAAAAGTTTTCTGAAGCGGTTATCGCTACATGAAAGGAATAGGACTCCTTGAAAATGAATGAATATGTTTGAAGAAATCGGCAAATTGCTAAGAGCATAGATTCAGTGTATTTTTTTAGTCGGTCACGTTTTGAACTTCTTTGTCACATAGAATTGATTGATTGCTTCTTATAACTTTTACATTTGGCGTTATCAGTTCAGCTAGCAGCATTTCATTGTTTGTCGTTTAGAATGTGGCAACAGGCCTTCTGCGACTCCTGCCTGCATGGCACTAAAATGAATTACGTACCATAACATCGGTCTGTCTATTGAATATTTAACAGTCCGTTCATTTCCGCTTATAATTCACGCTTTTGGCATTTGAAGATGCTTTGTTTAAATCTTTTGCATGATACCGTCATCGTTCTGAACAGAAATAAAATCTATTGTATTATTTGTATGTTGTCAGATTTCACAATTGCAGATTTATTTGTTACTGCTGTGCAGTAAGATGCTTTTCTGTTTATATATAAGCACTAATTTGCTGTACAGTTCAGATTTAATAATGCACACCAGTGTGTTTTATTAAATTGGTGGGTTTTATCGACTGAAAAGCTTTCCATTTTTGATCTTCGTCCTTACCGTTTCGTACTGTTAACATTACTCTTGCATCTATGATTGTAAACTGGCTGTTAATCAGTGAGTAGTAGTTGTGAGGATTTTAGTAAAGAATTACACACAGAGGCAAGTTGCTGTTACATTTGCCGAAGGTTCCGAACCACGCCGTTGAAATTCGAGGTCAAACACGTTATTAAGGCAGTTAACATTGAAAAGGCCTAATCGTGTTATGATATTCGTGCAATGTTCTTAAAAGCTGTCGGTTGTGCTGCAGGTTACAACAGTTTTTGCAATAAATCTTTGAGGCATACAGCCAAATGTAATTTGAATCTTAAGCTGTTCTAAGACAGGGAATTTGTCGCCTTTAATATCAGATTTCCCCATTTTCAGGTTTTACTTTCCAGTACCTCGCAGAATATTTCTGTCATGGCGAATAGCGCTGCGGCTCATACGCTTCGTTTCTGTGCGCATCTTATGGAGATGCGAATCTACTATTGCCCCGAGTCATACAGCAGTCGCGGCGTGCGCGGCTTCATCGAGCAATTCCTGCCAACGATTCGAGCGCACAACGTGGGCTTTCCACTCAAGGTCATTCCATACAGAAACATCGAGCCTTGGATGCTAGGACTGTGAGTATTCAGCATTGTGATGGCTGTCATTTTCGCTGTTCTTACATATTCCGTTAAGTTTTATGTACGAGCGTAAGAAGAAGCAGCGACTGTCGAACAAGAACAGCAACCAGGTCCTGTGCTGCGTCGAGGAAATGGCCAACAACACGTTCATGCCTGGTTGTCGTGGTTCCGTTATTGACAGAAAAACCAGGGGGCTGACATTACTGCCGACCGAACAAAAACGGAGGGACCCCTTCAAAGTTATCTCTAAATTGCAGTAGCCAGTCGAAAAATTGCATGAATATTGCAGCTGCAGTATTTGCATATTTGAGCTTTTAACATTCTCAGATGCATTGAAACTACGGTTTGCAAGTTCTAAACTTTATAAAACGTCCCCATACCATTTGTACATCATGCATGCTATGTCAGTTACCTATTATCCGATTGACTTTGGATTTTTTATGATATTTTTATTTTCTTCGACATACCTTAAATGACACCCTTACAAAACGTTAGAGCAGTCTCCAAAATATCAGCTGTCATATTCAAAATAGACCGGAAATATGCTTTATTAAATTTTAACTTAATTTTAACATAGTTGTTCTAGACTGTGATTTGTGAAAAACAGGCTTACGTCACCATTAGCAGCCGCTATAGTCTGTGGTAAGCCAGAGATAGTGTCTGTGGCAGCAAGAATTTGACGAAATTCACGAATTCATGATACATTCAGAATTTACTTTCATTTCAAACCTGTCAAAATAATAAAGCAAGCTTGACATTACCTCTTCTGAGGGTAAATGGTTCTGATGTTCATTCTGCGCCTATCTTCTTAATTCAAATGAAACCCAACACCATAAACAGAGTTAATAGTCTTCTTTCTCTCAATCCTGCCCGAATTTATATGAACTTACGATGGACAGAAGAACATATGACATGTACTGGCAAACGTGTATGACTGTATCACTATATTTGCAATTGATAACTGTTTTTGACATCAGCCGAAGCCTTACTCCTATTCTTTTTTTTTCGAATGGCAGCAGTGGCTACAAGAGAGATCTAATTTGGACAGCCAGGATATGGAACTGGTTACCAGTACATGTTTTGTGCTGATTCCTTTTTCAAATTTTCTGGATTCGCTCTGGTTCGCGATGAAATCTATTGTTTCGTTTGGGTAGCCGCAGTCACAGTTTGGGGTTTCTCTGTAGCGCCACTTGGGGAATTTGTACCCGGTCCTGGCGTGGGTCCTGCGGATCCTGTTCATAGTTTCCCATTGTTTACGGGTCAGATAAAATTCGGTCATAATTCTTGTCGGATCACTAATGACCTTTTGTTTCTCACGTTGGAATTTTGCTTGATTTTTATTCACTCATCACTGAAGTCAAAAGATGATGCCGTTAAGTCATGGTCAGATTGCCAAAAGAGTTTCCGCGATTTGAGTCTTGCCGAGGGGTGGTTCTTGAGGTTTTGATAAACGGGCAAGTTTACTTCATGCTCGATTTTGCGGTACTCCCTTAGGCAGCCGTGGCACCTTCTTATTTCGATTGAAAGTTGTCGTCATTCTACCCATCTAACTCTTGTTCAACGATTTCTGCGCCATGTGTACTATACATTATGCGATCTGCTTGACTGATTCAGAGCCAAGGGATAAGTGTCACCCGTAAAAATCATATCGTAACAAGAATTCTTTAAAACTCAAATGTTGGACGCTTCAAACTAATTCGAAATCTAGTCCATAACATCTGATGGAGCCGTTCGACAAGGCAGAGAAGCAGACGTCATTGCTTGCGCACCAGTACTGAGTCACCGGATATTTTATGAGATGAATTATTGTTGCGTATTATCAGTCAAGCAGTTTGTAACGAATACAGATACTTTATTGTTATTCTGATGGTCCTATTAATCTTCTTGGGTGGTGACCCTTTGACTTGTAGACCAACCGGGGTGATAAAACCCAATGTCACTTATAGGTGGCGACGCGAATAGACAGAAACAGCGTCAGTCATCGAATCGTGACGAGTACGGAACCATCTGCTCTTGACATCTCGTTGCACGTCTGACCACGACCAAGGAAGAACTGTCAAATCCTGGAGACTCATTGGCCCCCTTTTAGTGAGCGATACTCCAGAAGAAGCCATATCTGTATGCCGACATAGTATACGATGAACTGCGTGTCTCTCTAGTCATGAAATTCATTGTTGAACCGCATTTGAGTGTCGCGTGATCAACTGTGTGTAAGTTCCATAATTTACTCCCTCATAATTACCCTTAGGATTCAATTATTTTTTATTTAACGGAATAGTATAATAGTACCCAATAGTTTTGGTTTAGCTGCAATAGTGGATAATGGCATTTGCCAGTTCACACTGATACTTCAACCTGATTAACTTCGTCTGCTGTGATTGCTTGATCTTGGAAGCGTCAACGCAGCATATGAAATACAGATTGCTTCTGTTGTTGGGATCTACCATGCTGTAAAGGTAACTTATCTGGTTCTGAGTTCAGTCTGTGATGTTGTTTGCCCACCCGTTGTTCAAGCGTTCCCGATAAAATCTTAGGGCATTGCGGTATTCATCATTTAACAGTTATTAGCGTCGGTTCCTGCTTTTTGGCGGGCTTTGTCATGTGTGTCATTCGGTGTGGCAAAAGAACCGTAGCGCTTCACTCGACTGATTCACAGATCAAAAATCACAATGAAATTTACTAACACGTCGATATCGAGCAATAATTGTTTAGTAAAACAAGTAGAAACAATTTTAAAAAGAAACCGAGTAAGAATGAGAAACCGAGTCCTGTTTTAACATTTAAAAATATATTGAATTTGCTTAGTGCAAATTTTTTGTTATTCATTTTTATTATGCAATTTACCTTCATTCTGAGTTTTTTGCCGTTGTAATGAACAATTTCTGGTCTGTCAGAAAACTGCTAATTTACTCCAGACATTAAAGTCACAAGAAAGATAACGCCGTTCTCCCTCTTGGCCAGTTTAATCACTCCTCGAAAGATGTTTTTAAGTAACGCGGACCCAGTAAGCGCGTGGTTGACGAACGCAAATTGAAAATTAGCGTAGATTGGAGGTCTGAACGCGAACTTCTGTCGTAAGATCATTCGCAATTTGACTCTTCCACAACAATCTTTCCCTGCCAATTACCACATAATGGAAACAAGCTTGACTTGCAGGTAAATGTGTCAATTATGTGCGGTTTCCTCAAAAAAATGTAGCGAATTCATTCATTGGGCTTCAAAGAGGAACGTTCGGAGAATGATTTCAGACAGCTTTAGTAATTTGATACTGAAGGATGCAACTACACTTAGTTAAATACAAACAGATTTCTTTCTGGAGGAATTTCATTCGCTCATAACCAATCACGACTCTGTTTTAACAATGATTGCACATCATTTTAAAGTAAAGTGAGACATTCGCATATGCCTTCAACTCTGGTAGGCAGTTCTGTCAAACTGTTGACGTCGTTCTCGATAATTTGTCAGCGTTTGAAGTTCGGGAGTAGAAACCCGATTCGGGGCATAGCCTTTATAGAAATTTGCCTCAATTTATTTTTGTTTGCTCCCAGGGTTGTTGTCGGTCCTCTGACCAAGTATTAGTTGTCTCGTCCTCCGTTTCAGAAGCATTTTTCATTTTCTAGGAAATTTTGCAGCCAATCTTTATCTAATTACTATAATTGCGTAAACATTTTAAACCGATTTTGGAGAGAGATTGATGCGGCGGTCACCGTAAATAATTTAAGTCGATAATCAATTCTGATCTTTTTACCGACTAATAGTGGATTTAAACAGCGGAAACTGTAAAGTTATTTTATAGCGACACTGTGCGAATGCGATACTGCTGGTGGCTATTACTTTAGATTGTGTTGCAGTATTGCACCACCCTATTGTTAATCTCTTCTTTCATTTTCTGCGGATAGTAGAAGTAATAACCACCATGTCGTCCACTGCCGCATTATCACAGTAAAGTTA